CCGTAATTTCGGGGCTCGAATGCCCCGAAATTTCCACTTTAGGGAAAAAAAAAAAAAAAAAAGGAAAAAAGAAAGAAAAAAAGAAAACAGTTTCTAAAAATGGAAATTAGGGGCATTAGGGGCAAATTTTTTACAGCCACCAATCATTTTCCATAAACATATGTCCAAGTTAACGTACCAATTACATAACCGGAATTCTTGCCAATCAATAATTACTTTTGTTGTAACGGAGCTAAGGCTTGTACTCGTGACAGGGCTTTCAAATAATGAACTTGCACAATGTGCAACATCTAAGATGGTTTAGAAATTGATTATTTCACTTTTTTTATTTTTTTTTTTACAAAAAGAGATGTACGAATGTCAAAAAATAATATGATAATTTATAATAATTTTTTAATTTTTAAAATTAAAATAATTTATCCCCAAACACGACGAAAGGACTAATGAGGACTACAGTAACCATCCGCCATACAAGATTGATGTCTGCCAATCATTTCGTAAACTTCTCGGGTTGGAAATTGTCTAAAGTAACAGCCACAGACAGACCCTCTGCAATTGTTTTGCCAAAAAGGAGAAATGATTTTTTTTTTTTTTTTCAACAATGATTCATCCCTCTAATTTAGAAGCTCTCATTAAGTATTAATGAGGTGAAAATTTTAAAAATAAAAAATAAAATTAAGAACAAAACATCACATCAATAAGTGGGACTCACCCCCTTAAAACTTCTTTAGAGCTCATAATTTAGAGCTCTCAAACATTTTTGTTTTTATTTTTATTTTTATTCTGTTTGTGATTTTTTTGTTTTTAACACTATAAAGGTTACTCTCACTGCTTTTAATTAAAGAAAGAAGCAACTGAACAGTATGCACTTAACAGATTGTTGTTTCCTATGCATCGGCGCCATGTTTTGTGTGGGGCTTGGGACATTTCCCATGTAGTATTTTTTTTTTCTTACATATTTTCTTCCAAATCATTCTTGCTTATCCTTTTCACATACATTTTCCCTCTTTGATTTTTTATTTTTATTTTAGTTATTTATTTATTTATTTTTTGCGGTAGCTAACTTTCTATGATCAACTCTTTACGCATTGTTTGGATTATAAGTTTGGATAGAAACTTAAGAAGAAGAAAAAATGTAAAAAGAAAAAAAATTAACTTATCTTTCATTCACATCTTCATTGAATTTGATAGGGATTTAGAACCAAAGTGAGAAACTGTGAGAAAAATATGAACTAAATATAACCTAATTTTCTTTTTTTTTCGAAATTCATATCCAATTTCATGATCCAAACAGAATGCTAGAGTTTGCCAACAAAGTTATATCTGACGGGAAATATGAAAGTTATGTTATTTATAAATTTCATTATAAAAAATGACATAACTTAATACTATAGTGGCATGTTTGATTGGGTGGATTAAAGCATGTGATTGGGATTATTAATCCGTGGGCCCAATTATCCTATGTTTGTTTTAACATTTTGCTTTAGGATTATTAATCCAATAGATAATTAATCCAACAAATTTGTAGGATTATTAGTAATGGGATAGGGGTGAGATTATTAATCCAATGGTTATTAATCCAATTGGATAGTGAATACCACACTAATTTAATAGGATTATTAATACTTCACTATTAATCTTGTGAATCAAACATGACTCCTAACTAGAAAACAGTTGAGTTATAACTAAATATCACATGAAATACAACAAAAAAATCTTAAATTATAACCAATATTTTGTCATGACTAATATTATAATGTATCATAACTAACGACATAAGAGGTCATAATCATTGACTCAAAAGTTGTAACCAAATGTAAATATATTACACATTCTAGAGGGGGTGTCACTACAAAAAATTAAAGTTTTGGGGACCAAAATTTAGGAAAAAAAATTATTTTTTTGGGTACCAAATATTTTTGTTGCAAAAAGTTTCGTTATTATACTTTTAGCAACAAAAATTGGACATTAGTAATGAATTATTATCCTTTTAGGACCAAATTTTTTATCTCAAAAAATAAACCATTTTGAGACCAAATTATTTTGTCTCTAAAAGTCTATTTATTAGTGACATTTTTAAAATTTTGTCACTAAAAGTCTTGTTTTTGACTTTTTGGAACGACCTTTTAGCGACTATCCTCATAATGATAGAAATTGGTCTATAAATATCTTTTATAACAAAACTTTTATTTTTAAAGACCAAAACATTTAATTTCTAAAACATTTATATGTTGTAGCATGTGTACGTAACATAACAGTGTAGTCTATAGCTCATCAGGATAATCCAATAGTTCAAAAGTTGTTACTGGAACAAACTGTAAATTCAAACAAATTAGAACTCTGCAGGCTTTCAAAATTTTCCATGATGAATCCAAAATGACCTCGCCTCAACAGGATTCCTTGGTATAAAAATGAAATAAATTTTATATTGTTTGATGGAAAGGAGGGACATGCAAAAAGGTCATGTTGATTACAAAATTCTTTAAAAAAATAAAATTATTACTGTTAAAATTAATATAAATAGTACCAGTGACATATTACTCTGTTTAACAGTAACATGTTATTCTGTCTCACAATAACATATTACTCTATTTAACAATTACTTTGTTTGACAATAATATGTTACTTTGTCGTACAGTAACTTGTTACTCTGGTAATATTGTCCAAGAAAGAAGAAAAAATAAATAAATAAATATTTTTTGGATGGATTTTTTGAGAAAGATCGGTTTTTTTTTTTTTTTTTTTTTATAAAAAATATATATATATTCTATATACTCTAGTGGGATGAATGATGGGTTCTGGCAACAGCTCATTTTGGGGGTAGTGGGATCAGACTGATTGATTAAACAATTTGGGAATGATGGGTTGTACGAAAAGATGGGAACAAGCCCATGTGGTTAGGGAATGGCGGTGGAGGTGTTGTGTAGGGGATATAAACACCTAATTAATATATAATGGACAGACTGTTGAAGTGTTGTTTCCATATCTGCGAGGTAAAAACACACCGGTGCCAGCGCACTTCCTCTGCACACCAGATCCGCCGAGAAACACAGCTCTCATGCCGGGACTACCGTGTTGGGAGGGCTGGGCTTGGTGGTTCTTGTGCTGAACTTGCAAAGGAGGCCATGCAGACTGAGGCAAACCCAGTGGCCTCGCATATCTTCCATTATTATTCTCGAACCCACCTCCATTAACAACTCTCCCTCCTCTGTTTTGACCCATCATCTGTTGCTGAAGCTGGTTTTGCTGTGAAAACAAACCCTCTCTGGTTTGTCTTCCCCAAATCGAAGAAGAGCACTGGTGTTTCATCATTTGGTCATGTCTCGGTCGATGAAAGAACGATGAGATTGGACTATCACACCGTCCTGCTGTTGCTCACATCGTTCAATCTTCTTCTCCCTTCTATCTTTGGAAAATCTGGTGGAGTTTGTATTTCTCCAGGTGGCCGGTTTCCCCCCTTTGCAAATGAAGGAAAACCTCCTAGCAAAGTAAGCAAGGGCCGTAAAGAGTTGACCCTTTGCAGGGTGTTCCGTAAAAAGACATGCTGTGATGTTGCCCAGACACATCCAGCTTTGTTATCCATTAGGAGGCTGGCCTTAACAGGTGAAGCCAGTCAAGAGTGCTTGCAATTGTGGGAATTGTTGGAATGTTCTATTTGTGATCCTCATGTTGGTGTACAGCCAGGACCTCCTCTCATGTGTGCTTCTCTTTGTGATAGAATTAAATACAGTGGTCTAGGGTATGCAGAACTAGGGAGACAGTGATGAGGTATGATAGATGCGAGGGACGACGGAGGCGATCTTAGGAATAAGGAGGAGTGGAGTTTTGCGAGAAGGTGGCAGAGGCAGCGACAGTGGTGGCGGCAGAGGTGGTGGCGATGGAGGGTGAGTTGTGAGTCTGTCCTCCTTTGTTGTGTGTGTGTGAGTCTCGGTGAGATTGTGATGCAGAACCACCAATTCATCTCCGTCTATCCCTCTGTGTGTTTTATCTCAAAATCGAGGGAGAGAGGATTTAGGCAGTGATGGAAAGGTATGTGTAGAAAATTCCAGCGGGCAGCGAAGGCAAAGTTGTCGGCCGGCTACCCGCCGGTGAGAAAGAAAATATAGGCCTAAATCTTATAGCTCCGATATCATATTAGAATAAATGTATAGGGAAAAAGAGAGAAACAATTATGTATGTATTATTGATTGATATTTTTGATTGTGTATTGTATGTACATTATATAGGAGATGTGAAGTGGAGGTGGAGTGGTGTAGTGGAGTAGGTGAAGTGGAGTGTGTAGTCGAGTAGGTGAAGTGGAGGTGGAGTGGTGTAGTGGAGTAGGTGAAGTGGAGTGTGTAGTGGAGTAGGTTTAGGTGTACATTAACATAAATTATAATCTTTTGCTTTATTTTCAATTTAAACTATTCTCTTATTTTTGTTAAATAAAATCGACTGAAAAATGATATTTTAGTCATTTAACTCAATATATCTAAAATAGGAGTTTTTTTTTATAAATCCTCTTTCTAAGAGTTTTATTTCATCCCACTCATATTCTTTTTGACTATTTCATTAGATCCTATTTGAATTAAAAAGACCAAAACACCATCATTCTCTCATGTCCCCTATTAATGTTGATATTTAATGTTGATTGTTATTATGTTTTGGTAGTTTCCATTCATCCGGATGTTAACTGTCATTATATTCATATTAATTTGAAATGAATTTTTGTCATTGTGTTGTTAATTACATGATGTGAATATTCACATCATGTAATTGAAATGAATATTTACATCATTATATTCACATTAATTTGAAATTAATTTTTGTCATTGTGTTGTCAATTACATGATATGAATATTCATACTGAAACATACGAATGTGAACGTTCACATCACTACATATTGTGAATAAGAATGTCTTGTCAATTAAAAATAAGGAGGTTCACATGTTATGAACGTTCACATCACTACATTAGATGAGAAAAAAAAATTCGGAAATGTGTCGTGAACGTTCACATCAGATGATAGAGAATGTTCACATTATTTTTAATGTGTTGTCAATTAAAAATATATTCGTATTATATAATAATATAAAATAATATCAATGTTATTTAATTTGTGTATAAAATTTTCAATGTTAACCAACTTGAGTTTGAAGAGAGTAACAAAACAGGAAAGTAAACTGATAAATAAAATAAAACAGGATAGGAGACACGGTATGGTCGTGTCAGACCGTTGTAGGAGACACTTTATGAGGTCGTGTCAAGAGCATAAGAGTCTAAAAAAAATAGTGTAAATAAAGAAAAAATACTTTATAGAATAAAAGTATAAATACATGGGACTAACAGCATATTTGTTTGGACTAACTGGATAATGAGGGATTGGAATCCATCGGATTATAATCTTGGGATTCATAGTCCTGAGACTATTTGGTTGGATAGGATATGTATCGCATGTTTGTTTAGTCATAAGATTAAGTGTCAAGAAATGAATATTTGGTTGGATAAGATATGAATCTTATTTTGTTTGGGATATTAGGAAGAATGATAAATGCTCAAATGACTAGTTTATCATTTTTAATTATTTGCTAAATAATAGCAATATTAAATATATCTTTAAATTTATTTTATTTTATTTTTTACACAATTAAATAAAATTGTTTTTAAAATTAAATAAATAAAATATCAATAAAAATATATGCTATTTTTTAATTAAAATTTTAAATAAATTTATTTAAAAAAATAAAAATAATTAAACAATGAAATTAAATAAAATATCTATTAAAATTTAAATAATGAAATTAAATAAAATATCAACAAAATTTAGAGTAAAACATCAATAAAATATCTATAAAAAATTAAATAAATAAAACATCAATAAAAATTAAATAAAATTATTTTATTTTTAAATTGAGACTACTTTATTAAGTATAATTAATACCATAAGAAAAAAGATATTTAATATTAGAGGGTCAACAATGTAATTTGGCAACTTAGGCTTGGTTTGGCATAATAAAAAAAAATCAAAAAGTCAAAAAGTCACTATCTTATTCATATCATCTCTCTGCCACATTACTTCAAACCTAACCTATACCAAACCTATATTTCATAAAAAGTCAAAAAGTGCACTTGTTTAATTTATCCCAAACAACCCCTTAATCTCATGGGATGAGTTAGCTTGTGATTTGTGTCCCCCTCCCCCCTCCCATGGGATAATATAGTCCCGCAGATTTGGGATTAATAGTCCATCCGGACTATTAGTCCGGTGCAAAAAATTTGAAACAAACAACTAACTATTAGTTCGGGTGAACTATTAGTCCAATCTCAGCCTTCAATCCCACCAAACAAACATGTTGTAAGTAGGTTAAAAAATTCCTTCATGGACTTCTTCAATTAGAACACTTCTAAATGAAATTTATCAATAAAAATCGAATCTAAAATATTTCTTTTCGTTGAGTTTAATGGCTAAAAATATCATTTTTCCATCGGTTTTATTTAACAAAAATCGACAGATGGTTTAGATTGAAAATAAATAAAAAAAATTAAATTTAAATTGACGAAATTAAAAATTCAAGATTTATTTTATTATAAGGTCAACATTAGGGTTTTTTTTTGATAATTTTCGCTAAAATAAATGACTCATAACCTGAAAACAAAAAAGGATGACAAATAAGGGAAAATACAAGAATAAAAGCAATTCTAAACAATATATATAATAAATACCAGATATCGCAAATACAATGAACTTATTTTTTATAAACTTGGCTAAAAAATTATTTAAAAAATTCTTTCATATAATTAATTTAGGGTGCAAAACTTTATAATTTTGGAGGTGCCAAATATAAAAATTTAAGAATTATCTTATTAATGCATATAATATGAGATGTTTTTTAAATTTTCGGCGTGCAACCGCCCCCAAGATCTATCATTATACATACTTTTGAATCACAGAATTATTTGGAGTTCTACAAACATTTAATAAAAATTAAATATATATATTTATTTATTCATTCCTGGTTGGAGCCCAAAGTCACTTGGTAGAGACGTCAACCCTAAGACCATTGACGTGATAAACAATACATTTACCATTCGAGCAATACATCCTACATGCATTTAGCTCAAAATTAAACTTTATTATTTTTCAGATTTAATATCACACTCATCTAGTCAGAGGTGGAGATAGAGAAGGGACAGGGAGTCACGTGCCTCCTTGGATTTTGGGTTTTTTATATTTATTTATTTTATTATTTTAGGAAAACAAATATAAAGAAAATATTGTTTTAAAAATTATAAAAATATTATTTAGAGTGAAATTTTAATGGCATTTTTAAAATTATGAGAATAATAATGGTTGTTTTAATAAATTACGATAAGTCATATTATTATTTACGAAAAAAATTTAACGTAACAGTGATGTCTATCATTATTAATATGCAAGCATAATTAATTTTACTATGAAGATAAAGAATTTATTAGATTGTTAGTTACATTTGATATGTGAAGTTCACCCTCCATGTGTTTTTTTTATTATTGATTGATGATATATATCACATGTTAATTATGACGTGACATTACTATTATATTGAATTTTCACTCAAATTTTGTATAAAAAAATTACTTTATCATTATATAATTTATTTTAGGACTTCTATCCATAATTTTTTTTTTTTTGTATTGTTCATAATACATTAGTTACAAATAACATTATTTTTTTGATCTTTCTCAAAGTCAATTTTAAAAATTTATGTGAAATATTTTTGTTAAAAATTTCAATATTATAATTAATGAGTACCCTTCTAATTTAATTTCCTGACTCCACCACGCATCCGGCTGGCACATACCCACTATATATATATATATACACAATAACGAAGCAGCTGAGCAAACAATAAAATAAAATAAAATTCAATTCAATTTGAAAAGAAAAATAGCGAAGCATGGTAGAATTATCTAACATCATATATAATAAATCATGGAATCAATATGCCATAAACAAATTTGCAGTAACAAAAAAATCATTTGTCGAAGATTAATTATTGAAATATCGTTTCTTAAGGAGGGGACAAGTGTCAGTGACAATGGATGTGGATGATAGTTGGATAGTTGGAGTGGGAAAAGGTGGTGGACATAATGGTTTGGGAGGTGAGAGGAGTTACAGATTGCTGTTGTTGGAAAAATTACAAATATTTTTTTGTTAAAATTTTTTATTTAACAGAATTAATTAGAAATGAGGGATTCATAATTGCACTCATATACATTACTAAAATTATTTAAATTATTAATTGAAACATATTTTTATAACATCATTAAAAAAAATTTAATTGACTTGATGATTTATTAATAAAAAATATAATTTGTTATAAAATTAGAAATCTCAAGAGATGGAATGTAATTTCCAAAATCACAGAAAGCGATTTATATTTTAATCAAATTTTAAGAAGTGTATTTGTAATTTATCTTTTTTTTTATTATTATTATTTCACATTAACTTAAAAAGAAAAGGAGGCCCATTCTCAAAATTCGAGCATGTACTATAGATTCCGTTAGTTTGGATAAAAAGTGTAACGATTTTAATTAAAAAAAAAATATATATATATATATATATAAAGGATGTAAACTAAACAATACATTATTAGGTTAAAGTGAATTTTGTGAGAAAAAAAATATACAGTAATTTTAACCAATCTAGTGGCACAGCATACCTTAAAATTAGATTTTTGTTATTGGACAAGGGATTTGGCAATTTCAAGTCATGATGATGAAACTAGAAGCAAAATGGCATGCATGGTTTATCCCAGT